ACAACTCCCAAATGTCAAGGTCTATTTTCCCCAAACTCTACTAGTGTTTACATTTGGGCATACTGAGAATTGTTGCCAAGTTTGGTCCAGATCCATCATTGTTAGAGTCCACAGCAATCTCTGGATGTAGGTGAACTACAACTCCCAAACTCAAGGTCAATGCCCACCAAACCCTTCCAGTATTTTCTGTTGGTTATGGGAGCACTATGTGCCAAGTTTGGTTCAATTCCATTGTTGGTGGGGTTCAGGATGCTCTGTGATTGCAGGGGAACTATAAATCGCAGCAATTATGACTCCCAAATGTCAAGATTCTATTTTCCCCAAACTCCACCAGTGTTCACATTTGGGCATATGGAGTATCCATGTAGTTTGGTCCAGATCCATCATTGTTTGAGTTTACAGCGATCTCTGGATGTAGGTGAACTACAACTCCCAAACTCAAGGTCAATGCCCACCAAACCCTTCCAGTACTTCCTGTTGGTTATGGGAGTTCTGTGTACCAAGTTTGGTTCAATTCCTTCATTCGTGGGGTTCAGAATGTTCTTTGATTGTAGGTGAACTATAAATCCCAGCAACAGCAACTCCCAAATGTCAAGATTCTATTTCCCCAAACTCCACTAGTATTCACATTTGGACATATTAAGTATTTATGTACAGTTTGGTCCAGATCCATCATTGTTTGAGTCCACAGAGATCTCTGGATGTAGGTGAACTACAACTCCCAAACTCAAGGTCAATGCCCAACAAGCCCTTCCAGTATTTCCTGTTGGTCATGGGAGTTCTGTGTACCAAATTTGGTTCAATTCCATCGTTGGTGGCGTTCAGAATGCTCTGTGATTGTAGGTGAACTATAAATCCCAGCAACTACAACTCCCAAAGGACGAAATCAATTTTTTTGAGTGAAGGACATACATTGGGTTGTTAGGAGTCTTGGGTCCAAATTTGGTGCCAATTTGTCCAGTGGTTTTGGAGTTGTGTTCATCCCACAAACGAACATTACATTTTTATTTATATAAAATGGCTATCATGTCTCCTCTCAGCCTTCTTCAAGCTAAACATGCCCAGCTCTTCAAGCCACTCCTCATAGGGCTTGTTATATATACATAGATTTATGTAGCCTTTTTATTATATAGACACACTTCCTAAAGAAATCCATGAGACTTCTGTCCAAATAAATACATATTTAAAAGAGACTGTCAGATGAAAACAAAATATTCGAAATGGCATCAAAGCACTCCCGATAGACAACCTCTGCGGAAAAGCCTCCAGAGAAGGAGACTCCACCACACTCTCCAGGAAGTTCTTCCTGATCTTTTCAGTCGAATCTCTTTCCCTTCCATTTGAACCCATTGCTCCCTTCTTGTGCCCTGGTCTCTAGAGCAGCAGGAAGTCAATTCTCCTCCTTCTCCTCAATGGGACATCCTTTGAAATCCGGAAGCAGGGTTCTCCTGTTCTCTCTCAACCTTTCCTTCTCCCAACTAAACATCCCCCAGGAGGAAAGGAGGAAGGAAAAAGAGAAGGAAGGGAGGAAGAGAAGGGAGGAAGGAAGGGAGGGAATGGAGGGAGGGAGGGAGGAGAAAGAGGGAGGAAAGAGGGAAGGAAGAAACACAAATGGGAAAGAAGGAGAAGGAGAGAGAAGGAAGGGGGAGGAAAGGGGGAGGAGGAAAGACAAAAGGGAAGGAAGGAAGGAAAGGAGAAGAGAGAGGGAGTGGAGGAGGAAAGAGGGGAGGAAGGAAGGAAAAAGGAAGGATGGAGGGAGGGAGGAAAGAGGAAGGAAAAAAAGAGAGAAAGAAGGAAGGAAAGGGGAAGAGAAGGAAGGAGAGGAGAGGAAGGAGAGGAAGGGAGAGAAGGAAGGAGGAAGGGAAGGAGGAGGGAGAGAGGGAGAAAGAGAGGAAGGAGGGTAGGGAGGGAAGGGGTGGAGGGGAAGGAGAAGAATAAAAAAAAAAAAAAAAAAAAAAAAAAGAAAAAAAAAAAAAAAAAAAAAGAAAGAAGGAAGAGAAAAAAGAAGAAGAAGAAGAAGAAAAGAGAAGAAAAAGAGAAAAAAAGAAAAAAAAAAAGAAAAAAAAAAAAACAAAAAAAAAAAAAAAAAAGAAAAAGAAAAAGAAAAAGAAAAAGAAAAATTAGAAATAAACCAAAAAAAAAAAAAAAAAAAAAAAAGAAAACAAAAAAAAAAAAAAAGGGGAAAGGAAGGAAGGAAGGAAGGAAGGAGAAGAGAAAGGGAAGAGGGAGGAAAAAGGGAAGGAAGGATGAAAAAGAAGGAAAGAGAAAGAGGGAGGGACGTAGGAAGGAAGGAAGGAGGAAAGGAAGGAAGGAAGGAAGGAAGGAAGGAAGGAAGGAAGGAAGGAAGGAAGGAAGGAGAAAAAGAGAGAGAGGTGGAGGGAGGAAAGAGGGAAGGATGGAAAAGAAGGAAAGAGAAAGAGAGAGGGAAGGACGTAGGAAAGAGGGAAGGAGGAAAGGAAGGAAGGAGAAAAAGATAGAGGGGGTGGAGGAAGGAAGGAGGGGAGGACAAATAGGAAGGAATGGAGGGAGGGAGGGAGGAAAGAAGGAAGGAGAAAGAGAGAGGAAGGAGGAAAGGGGGAAGGAAGGAAGGAAGGAAGAAGGGAAGGAAGGAAGGAGGAAGGGAAGGAAAGAGAGGAAGGGAGGGAGGAAAGAGGGAAGGAAAAAAAGGAGGAAAGAAACAGAGAGGGAAGGACGTAGGAAAGAGGGAGGGAGGAAAGGAAGGAGGGAAGAAGAAAGGGGAAGGACGTAGGAAAGAGGGAAGGAGGAAAGGAAGGAAGGAGAAAAAGATAGAGGGGGTGGAGGAAGGAAGGAGGGGAGGACAAATAGGAAGGAATGGAGGGAGGGAGGGAGGAAAGAAGGAAGGAGAAAGAGAGAGGAAGGAGGAAAGGGGGAAGGAAGGAAGGAGAGGGAGGGAAGGGGGGAGAAAGAGGGAGGGAAGGAAGAAGGGAAGGAAGGAAGGATGGAAGGAAGGAGAAAAGAGAGGAAGGAGGGAGGAAAGAGGGAAGGAAGGACGAAAAAGGAGGAAAGAAACAGAGGGAAGGACGTAGGAAAGAGGGAGGGAGGAAAGGAAGGAGGGAAGGAGAAAGGGGAAGGACGTAGGAAAGAGGGAAGGAGGGAAAAGAAGGAAAGAGAAAGAGAGAGGGAAGGACGTAGGAAAGAGGGAAGGAGGGAAGGAAGGAGAAAAAGATAGAGGGGGTGGAGGGAGGAAGAAGGGGAGGACAAATAGGAAAGAATGGAGGGAGGGACGGAGGAAAGAAGGAAGGAGAAAGAGAGAGGAAGGAGGAAATGGGGAAGGAGAAAAAGATAGAGGGGGTGGAGGAAGGAAGGAGGGGAGGACAAATAGGAAGGAATGGAGGGAGGGAGGGCGGGAGGGAGGAAAGAAGGAAGGAGGAAAGGGGGAAGGAAGGAAGGAGAGGGAGGGAAGGGGGGAGAAAGAGAGAGGGAAGGAAGAAGGGAGGGAAGGAAGGATGGAAGGAAGGAAGGGGAAAAGAGAGGAAGGAGGGAGGAAAGAGGGAAGGAAGGATGAAAAAGGAGGAAAGAAAGAGAGAGGGAAGGACGTAGGAAAGAGGGAGGGAGGAAAGGAAGGAGGGAAGGAGAAAGAGAGGGAAAGGAGGGAGGAAAGAGGGAAGAAAGGAAGGACGAAAAAGGAGGAAAGAAAGAGAGGAAGGAAGAAGGAGAAAGAGGGAAGGAAGGAAAGAAGGAAGGAGGAAAAGATAGAGGGGGTGGAGGGAGGAAGAGGGGAGGACAAATAGGAAGGAATGGAGTGAGGAGGGAGGGAGGAAAGAAGGAAGAGAAAGAGAGAGAAGGAGGAAAGGGGAAGGAAGGAGGAAGGAAGGGAAGGAAGGAAGGAAGGAAAGGAAGAAGGAAGGAAGGAAGGAAAGGGAGGGGAAGGGAAGGGAAGGGAGGAAAGAGAGGAAAAGAAGGAGGAAGGAGGAAGGAAGGAGAAGAGAGAGGAAGGAGGGAAGGAAAGAGGAAGGAAGGAGAAAAAGGAGGAAAGAGAGAGAGGAAAGGAAAGGAATGAGGGACGGAGGAAGGAAGGAGGAAGAAGAAGGAGAAAAAAGGAAGGAAGAAGAAAAGAGAGAGGGGAGATGGAGGAAAGGAGAGAAGGACAAAAGGAAGAAGGAGGAAGGCGAAGGGAGGAAGGAGGGAAAGTGGTGGAGGAAGAGAAGAGAGGAAAGGAGAGAGGAAAGGAGGAAGGAGAAAGGAGAAAGAGGGAGGGAAAGGAGGAAGGAAAGAAAGAGGGAGGAAGGAAGGAAGAGGGAAGGAAGGAAGGGGAGAGAAGAAAGAGAGGGAAGGAGGGAGGAAAGGGGAAAGGAAGGAAGAAAGGGGAGGAAGGAAGGAGAAGAGAGAGGGAAGGAGGGAGGACAGAGGGAAGGAAGGAAGGATGAAAAAGGAGGAAAGAGAAAGAGAGAGGGAAGGAATAAGGAGGGAGGGAGGAAGGAAAGGAGGAAGGAAGGAAGGAAGGAAGGAAGGAAGGAAGGAAGGAAGGAAGGAAGGAAGGAAGGAAGAAGGAGGGAAGAGTTGGGAACTGTTTGTAGTTTAAAGATACCGCTTTGAGGAAGAAGGAAGGGAGGGAGGGAGAGAGGGAGAAGGAGGAGAGAGGAAGAGAAAGAGAGAGGAAGGAGGAGAGGGGAAAGGGAGGAAGGAGAGGGAGGGAAGGAGGGAGGAAAGAAAGAGGGAGAGAAGTAAGGAACGAGGGAAGGAAGGGGGAGAAAGAGAGGAAGGAGGGAGGAAAGGGGAAAGGAAGGAAGAAAGGGGAGGAAAGAAAGAGAGAGGGAAGGACGTAGGAAAGAGGGAGAGAGGGAAGGAAGGAGGGAAGGAGAAAGAGAGAGAGAGGTAAGGAAGAAGGAAAGAGAGAAGGAAGGAAGGTTCGGATGGTGCGAGAGAGGAGGGCCTGAGAAGAGAGCCCGAGGGGCCGCATCCTTCCCTTGGGCCTGGCCTTGCCCATACCTGCTCTCAACGGAAAATATCGGTTGCTAGGACAGCTTGGAAACTCTTACCGGGGTGTGCCATGGGGACCAGGTAGCTGCTGTTCTTGGAGTCGTAGATGACCACGGCTTGGGCGCCCTGGCCGGCCGCGCGCTGGATCTTCTCGGCGAAGGTGCAGTTGCCCCTTTCGACGAGGGCGATCCAGGGCGACCCCGAGGCGGGGAACTTGGTGTTCCAGAGGCAGGCCTGCAGGCCGGAGGCGTTGGCGGCCACCACGGGCCCGTGAGCGCTGGCCACAGGGGAGTGCACCCCGTACAGGCCGCACTCGCACCTCTCGCTCTCCGTGGTGTCGTTTGCGGCGTTGAAATAGAAGACGCTGACGTTGGCCTTGACGGGGACGGCCTGCCCGGCTCTCAGCAGTCCGGCCAGGACCAGGAAGCAGGCGCCGACGAGCGCTCTCCCCCAATTCATGGCTGGTTTACTGGAGCGGAACATGGGAGGGCATGGACGTGCCTTCACCTGCCCGCTGTTCGTCTGCCGCTTCCGCCCAGGAACTGAAAGGACACTCCCGGGCAGGTAAGCCACACCGCTCCTCCCAGGTGCATTACAGCCTGGTTGCGCCATCTCCATTTCAGCTTATCTCCAGGGAATAAAAACACACCTGACACTAGAGCGACTGGGCGAAAGGACAGCCACACAACACCCCAGCCTTATATGCCACAGGTCCTTCCTCTCTCTTTCTCCTTCCTTCCTTCCCTTCCCTCTTTCCACGGCCACAGGTCCTTCCCTCTCACTTCTCCTTCCTTCCTCCCCTTTCTTCCTTCCTTCCCTCCTTCCTTCTCTCTCTCTTATCCTTCCTTCCTCCTCTTCCTTCCTTCCTTTCCCCTTTCCTCTCTCCTTCCTCTCTCTTTCTCCCTCCCTCCTTCTCCCTCCCTCCCTCCTTCCTTCCTTCCTTCTTTCCTTCCTTCCTTCCTTCCCTCCCTCCTTCCTTTCCTCCCTTCCTTCCCTCTCTTCTCCTTCCTCCTCCCCTTTCTTCCTTCCTTCCCTCTTTCCTCCCTCCTTCCCTCTCTTCTCCTCCCTCCCTCCCCTTTCTTCCTTCCTTTCCCCTTTCCTCCCTCCTTCCTCTCTCTTTCTCCCTCTCTCCTTCCTTCCTTCCTTCCCTCTTTCCTCCCTCCTTCTCTCTCTTCCCCTTCCTCCCTCCCCTTTCTTCCTCCTTCCCCTTTCCTCCTTCTCTTTTCCTTCTCTTCTTCTTCCTCCCTCCTCCCTTCCTTCCTTTTGTCCTTCCCTCTTTCTCCCCTTCCTCTTCTTTTTCTCCTTCCTTCCTCCTTCCTCTTTCCTATTCTTTCTTTCCTCTTTCCCCTTTTCTCTTCCTTCCCTCCTTCCCCTTCCCCTTCCTTCCTCCTTCCTCTTCCTTCCTTCCTTCCTTCCTTCCTTCCTTCCTTCCTTCCCCTTCCTCCCTCCTCCTCTTCTTTCTCCCTCCCTCCTCCTTCTTCCTCTTCCCTCCTCCTCCCTTCCTCTTTCCTTCCTCCTTCCCTCCCTCTCCTTCCACACCTTTTTTTCTAAATTTATTACAATGGCTTTCCCGAGCCTGATGCTGGACTACAACTCCCACAGCTGGGAATCATGGGACTTTAAGTCAACACATCCGGAGTATGTGTTGATTTAACTCTGTCTGATACAGAGTTAAGTCAACATTTCCATAACTCTCTACAACAAGCAAGAGAGGATGCATTCAACGAGGCAGAGGACCAGGCTTGAAGCAGCTTGACACCTCGCTAACCGCCAGGGCTCAATGTATAATACATTTTTCTCAGGAGGAGTTAGCGGTGGTTCACAGTCTCATAGGCTGCTGACAGGTCTATGAAGACAGCTCCTGTGATCTGCTGCCTTTCAAAGCCATCTTCTATGTGCTGAGTCAGGTGCAGCACTTGCGAGTTTCATCTATGCTGATGATCGTGCCATCACCGCTCAAGCAGGGAGCTTTGAGATGGTTGAACAGAAGCTCTCCGAAGCTCTAGGTGCTCTTACTGCCTATTACAGGGAAAACCAGCTGATCCCTAACCCATCTAAAACACAGACATGTGCCTTTCATCTCAAGAACAGACAAGCATCCTGAGCTCTGAGGATTATTACCTGGGAAGGAATCCCATTGGAGCATTGCAGTGCACCCAAATACCTGGGAGTCACTCTGGACCGTGCTCTGACCTACAAGAAGCACTGCCTGAACATCAAGCAAAAAGTGGGCGCTAGAAACAATATCATACGAAAGCTGACTGGCACAACCTGGGGATCACAACCAGAACCAGACACAGTGAAGACATCTGCCCTTGTGCTGTGCTACTCTGCTGCTGAGTATGCATGCCCAGTGTGGAACACATCTCACCACACTAAAACAGTGGATGTGGCTCTTAATGAGACATGCCGCATTATCACGGGGTGTCTGCGCCCTACACCACTGGAGAAATTACACTGCTTAGCCGGCATTGCACCACCTGACATCCGGGAAGTAGCAGCCAATAGTGAAAGGACCAAGGCAGAGACATCTCCAGCCCATCCCTTGTTTGGGTATCAGCCAGCACGTCAACAACTTAAATCTAGAAATAGTTTTCTGAGATCTACAGAGACACTCGCTGGAACACCTCAGCAAACGAGAGTCCAAAAGTGGCAGGCTCAAACCCAGAATACCAAATGAGAGATTCCCCGCTGGGCACACAGAAGATGGGGTGACTTGGAAGGCGCTGAACAGACTGCGCTCTGGCACCACGAGATGCAGAGCCAACCTTCAGAAATGGGGCTACAAAGTGGAGTCCACAACATGCGAGTGTGGAGAGGAGCAAACCACTGACCACCTGCTGCAATGCAACCTGAGCCCTGCCACATGCACAATGGAGGACCTTCTTGCAGCAACACCAGAGCACTCCAAGGGGACAGAGACTGCTCAAAGGACATTTAATCAACTACCAAACTCACAAATTTTGTATTTTGCCTGTTTGTTTGCTTTGTTCTGTTAGAAATGTAATATAATTGACTGGTTGCCCTGACACGACAAATAAAAACGAAAATAATGTTCTGATTGGGGGTCACCAAAACATGAGGAACTGTATTCAGGGGTCGCCGCATTAGGAGGGTTGAGAACCACTGCATTAACGTCTCCTTAGCTCTCTCCAACCAGAGACCTAATCTCATATCACGGGACAACAGTAGCAAAATGACAGTTCTGAAGTAGCAACGAAAATAATGTGATGGTTGGGGGTCGCCACAACAAGAGGAACTGTATTTAGGGGTCGCGGCATTAGGAAAGTTGAGAACCACTGCATTAATGTCTCCTTAGCTCTCTCCAACCAGAGACCTAATCTCATATCATGGGACAACAGTAGTAAAATTACAATTCTGAAGTAGCAACGAAAATAATGTGATGGTTGGGGGTCACCACAACAAGAGGAACTGTATTAAGGGGTCGCGGCATTAGGAGGGTTGAGAACTACTGCATTAACGTCTCCTTAGCTCTCTCCAATCAGAGACCTAATCTCATATCATGGGACAACAGTAGTAAAATTACAATTCTGAAGTAGCAACGAAAATAATGTGATGGTTGGGGGTCGCCACAACATGAGGAACTGTATTTAGGGGTCGCGGCATTAGGAAGGTTGAGAACCACTGCATTAATGTCTCCTTAGCTCTCTCCAACCAGAGACCTAATCTCATATCATGGGACAACAGTAGTAAAATTACAATTCTGAAGTAGCAACGAAAATAATGTGATGGTTGGGAGTCACCACAACAAGAGGAACTGTATTAAGGGGTCGCGGCATTAGGAGGGTTGAGAACCACTGCATTAACGTCTCCTTAGCTCTCTCCAACCAGAGACCTAATCTCATATCATGGGACAACAGTAGTAAAATTACAATTCTGAAGTAGCAACGAAAATAATGTGATGGTTGGGAGTCACCACAACAAGAGGAACTGTATTAAGGGGTCGCGGCATTAGGAGGGTTGAGAACCACTGCATTAACGTCTCCTTAGCTCTCTCCAACCAGAGACCTAATCTCATATCATGGGACAACAGTAGTAAAATTACAATTCTGAAGTAGCAACGAAAATAATGTGATGGTTGGGAGTCACCACAACAAGAGGAACTGTATTAAGGGGTCGCGGCATTAGGAGGGTTGAGAACCACTGCATTAACGTCTCCTTAGCTCTCTCCAACCAGAGACCTAATCTCATATCATGGGACAACAGTAGTAAAATTACAATTCTGAAGTAGCAACGAAAATAATGTGATGGTTGGGGGTCACCACAACATGAGGAACTGTATTAAGGGGTCGCGGCATTAGGAGGGTTGAGAACTACTGCATTAACGTCTCCTTAGCTCTCTCCAACCAGAGACCTAATCTCATATCACGGGACAACAGTAGCAAAATGACAGTTGAGAAGTAAGGTTGAGAGACACTGCACTAATAATGCAACATGTTTTGCATTATGAACTTTTATTAAAGGAACTCTGCCCCAGAAACACAAAAGGCCATTCTTATTTTTTTTTTGTTATGTTATCATCATAATCTGTAAAATATTTAAACAAGTAAAACAGCACAACGGCCTAAACATACACGCAAAATTCAAAAGGTAATACAGAAAAACACAGTATAAAATACCCAGTTATGTACACTCTTTTGAATACTGAAATTTATACAAAAATAAATGTAATATTTATAAGTGCAATGCAGGCGTTGTCTGAAAAATTCCCGGCGCTGAGCTAACCACGAGTTCTGCATCAACTGCAGCTTCGCTTCATTTCCATTTTCTACAGAAGGAGTCAAATGATAAATTCTCATTTGAATGTTTTGCTTGGAAATGGCCAGCTTGCAGGGCAGAGGCACATCATATCAAAAAGCAACTGGCAACATAATTATTGGGTGGTTGTGTGTTTTCCACGATGTCTGGCCATGTTCCAGAAGCATTCTCTCCTGACGTTTCGCCTGCATCTATGGCAGGCATCCTCAGAGGTTGTGAAGTATGTTGGAAACTAGAAAAATTAGGTTTAAAGATCTGTGGAAAGTCCAGGGCGGGAGAAAGAACTCTTGTCTGTTGGAGGTAGGTGTGAATGTCACAATTGGCCACCTTGATTAGCAGTTTCAAGGTCTGGGCCAGCTTATCACCTCCCAACAAAGGATTCCCCTGGTCAATAAGAAGTAATTAGGGTCACTTAATCACTTCCCAACAAAGGATTCCCCCAGAAAGTAAGGAGCTATCAGGGCCACCTAATCACCTCCCAACAAAGGATTCCCCTGGGCAGTAGAAGTAATTAGGGTCACCTAATCACCTCCCAACAAAGGATTCCCCTAGACAGTAACAAGTAATTCGGATCACCTAATCAACAAAGGATTCCCCTGGGCAGTAAGAAGTAATTAGGGTCTCCTAATCATCTCCCAACAAAGGATTCCCCCAGGTAGTAAGAAGTAATTAGGGTCACCTAATCACCTCCCAACAAAGGATTCCCCCATGCAGTAAGAAGCAATCAGTGCCATCTAATCAACTCCCAACAAAGGATTCCCCTGGAGGTGACTAAGTAATTAGGGTCACCTAATCACCTCCCAACAAAGGATTCCCCCATACAGTAAGAAGCAATCAGTGCCATCTAATCACCTCCCAACAAAGGATTCCCCTGGGCAGTAAGAAGTAATTAGGGTCACCTAATCACCTCCCAACGAACGATTCCCCTGGGCAGTAAGAAGTAATTAGGGCCACCTTATCACCTCCCAACAAAGGATTCCCCCATACAGTAAGAAGCAATCAGTGCCATCTAATCACCTCCCAACAAACAATTCGACCGGGCAGTAAGAAGTAATTAGGGTCACCTAATCACCTACCAAGAAAGGATTCCCCCAAACAGTAAGAAGCCAGACCTTGAAACTGCTAGGCCACCAAATGCTAATTAAGGTGACCAATTGAAACATTCACACTCACCTCCAGAAGACAAGAGTTCTTTCTCCCACCCTGGACATTATTCCACAGATATATAAACCCAACTTGCCTAGTTTCCAACAGATCTCACAACCTCTGAGGATGCCTGCCATAGATGTGGGCGAAACGTCAGGAGAGAATGCTTCTGGAACATGGCCAGACAGTCCAGAAAACTCACAACAACCCAGCGATTTGACAAAGCATAATTATTTTCACGTTTGGCACAGCAAACAAAAGGGCTGGGCAACGGAAAGAAAATACCGCCAGTCATTTCCAGAAACCAGGAGATCGCAGAGAAGGTTCGGAAACCTAACACGTTTCCTTTGTTCCTCTCCCAACTCCTTCCGTTCGTCAGCAAGAAGACAAAAACGGGACAACCTAATTTTAGCTGTTTTTTCTGACCGGCCTCATTTCACTTCAGTGATACAAAAAAAAAAAAAAAAATCACCCAGAGAATTCACAATTGTGATAAAAGTTAGGAAATACCATCAAGCTCAGATGCCTACCAATTAAGTAACATCAGGACGAAGCCAAATTCTTTTGTTCCCCCACCTGTGCAAAGATTTATTCACAGAGAACAGCGATTGACCTCTCTTACAACCCAACGCTCACAGAAAAGTGTCATGATTAGCAACTCGGCAATGTACCTTTTTACAGAAACGCACCTTCCTCGGTGCCCATGATCAGGGACTTCCTTTTGCAACGTTGCTGGCTAAGGATCAAAGCTTTCCTCGAAAAAAAATGCAGTGATACACGCTAATTCCTCTTCAGTGTACAGACGCCGCATCGTTCATCAGGTATGCTTGGCTTGCTACGTTGACGTCGGTAACGTCGTACACTCTGTTCAGAAAGACCTCAACTTTATCTTCGCCTAAAGAACAGATGTCCAGGATGCAGATGACATGTTGTTTCTCCAGGTCAGCGGTGGCTTTGACTACTACATCTACTGGGCAAAAAACAAGAGAGTGGAATTGGTATCAATATCTTCTCCCAACAAAGGATTCCCCCAGGTGGCAAGAAGTCACACAACCATCTTAGGTTAGGTTTGCCTTAAAGGGGCCTGTTCTAGTCTTGGAGGATGACTTTTTTTTTGTGAGAAGACTGAGGCAAAGAAGGCATTAAGTAGTTCTACCTTTTCCCTATCCCCTGTCAGCATTGCCCCATCTTCTCCTCAAAGAGGCCCTATCGCCTCCTTGTTCTTCCTTTTTCTATTGACATAAGAAAAGTAGCCCTTTTTATTATTTTTAATGTCCCTGGCAAGCCTGAGCTCGTTTTGTGCTTTAGTCTTGCAAACCTTTTCCCTACAGGAGTTGGCTATTTGTTTGAATTCTTCTTTGGTGGTTTCTCCCTTTTTCCACTTCTTGTGCATGTCTCTTTTGTGTCTTAGCACAGTTAGAAGTTCTTTGGACATCCATTCTGGCTTCTTTGCACTTGTCCTATTTTTTCTCTTTGTTGGCACTGTTTGAAATTGCACCTTGAGTATTTCTCTCTTGAAAAACTCCCATCCATTAGCAGAAGTTCAGAAGCACCTCATGCAGGCATGGACAAACTTCAGCCCTCTGGGTGTTTTGGACTTCAACAATTCCTAACAGCTGGTGTTAGGAATTAACCTCAACTCTCATAACAAACTTTATGACTGCCACAAGAAAATCACCAATGCCAACATCATCATCATCAAGAAATTCCTACCTGCAAGCGGAAATATTTCAGAAGGCCCTTCACTGTCAATCCTCTCCTGCTGGGATGAAGTACCACTTGGGTGAGTCAACACTACAGAACTGGATGTGCCTTTTCCACGGCATAAATGGGAGTCTTCAGAACATACGGGAAGGAAAGCCACATTTACAGCGATGTCGTGATTTATCCCTGTGTAAGAGAAAGTTGTCTTTTTTTTAACCCCGAAAAACTTGATCAGTACTTAAAAGTTTGTTATGTTGCGCAAGTTTGCTCTAGAACGTCTCCTTAGCTCTCTCCAATCAGAGACATAATCTCATATCACGGGACAACAGTAGCAAAATGACAGTTCTGAAGTAGCAACGAAAATAATGTGATGGTTGGGGGTCACCACAACATGAGGAACTGTATTCAGGGGTTGCGGCATTAGGAGGGTTGAGAACCACTGCATTAACGTCTCCTTAGCTCTCTCCAATCAGAGACCTAATCTCATATCACGGGACAACAGTAGCAAAATGACACTTCTGAAGTAGCAATGAAAATAATGTTATGGTTGGGGGTCGCTACAACTGAATTCTACTTTTGGGAGACAGTAGTTGCTTACCAAGAATGGCCACTTCATAATATTCAAGAGGACAGGCCTTTTCGAAGGTACCTGCTTCTTCATTTGTCGCACACTCGTTAGGTTTGCATCTGCCGGGCTGAAGATTGTATTGCCGCATAAGGAATTCTTTGTGTGCGTAATTAAATTTGCAAGGGAAGCTTTCTGGGAAAACACTGCTGTAGTTTAAATGTTGTGTTAAGTTGTCTTTTACTGCTGCCCAGAGAGCGCTTTCCCAGGAATTACGGCACGTCCTCTCTGCTTGAACTCTTCCAGGCACACTGGCTATTTCTTCGCTATCTGCCAATATGAAGAAGAGAATACGGACTTGTTAATATCTCGCTGTCAATAGACCCAGTCTCGCTGAGTTTTGAATATATGTTTGTACAGGAGTTGATTATAAATTGTATGATTTTAACTGTATTTGTGTTTGGATTGGCTGCAGTAGTGCTGGAGCGGCCTAAGTCAGAGGAGTCCTCCATGTGCGTTGCCATGGAGACCGATGCAGGAGAGAGGGAAGTGGGAGGAGCTTAGAGAGGAGAGTTTGAAAAAACGACAGTTAAAAATCAGTGGGGGTTTAGGTTTAGAGGTGTGAGCAGTCCGGGTTTAGGTTCAGGAGAGTCAGGAGTTAGGTTCAGAGGAGTGAGGAGTTAGGAGTTGGGAGAGAAGGAAAGGAAAGGTGGCGGAGTGACTTGTGAAGCAAAGCTTTGAGGCTTTGAAAAGCTGGGTTTGGCTATTGGAAGTTTCTCAGGCTAGTGCAGCCGAATGGTGAAACAGAGCTGGTATTCTTTTAGTCAAAGGAGAGGCTAAAGAATAGTTTACTTAGTATTTGATCTAGGGAGGATCAACTAAGGGAAACATCCCTGTATTGAAACTTTGTCTGAAACAAGTGCTCTACGTCAGAAAGATACTGTGTTACTTGAAAGAATGAACTGTTAAAGTTACAAGTATTATTCCAAGTGCAACAAGGAAAAGTTACGTCTTGCAACCACACGCTGTGTACTTAATAAAATTGTTAACTTTTATTTGAAGATTGCCTCAGCTCCGTCTATTCTGTGTCCAAAGTGCCATTTCTCACAATATTACAACTTACCTCACGTGGTGGCAGAAACGCAGGGAAAAGTAACCAAATAAATCTACATTCTTCTCTCCAGTCACGCTACAGTATATACAGTGTAATTACTACTAAGTTATTACTTTCTTAATAAAGGAGGAGGTGCAATTGAACAGCCTCCCTTCCATCTTGATGGTAAATTTGGTTCCTAATCGGCAACCTCCATTGCAAATCGGCTAAGTCTTTTTAAAATTGGGAACTGGGGTAGAATCTCCTGAATACTGGTTCCTTTTAAATTGGTGGCAACAATAAATCATCCCTCCGCTCCATTGCTTCCTTTCAATGTTGAACTAGCTGTACCTGCCACGCATTGCTGTGGCCAACCTTCCCTCTTTCCTTCCCTCCCTCTTTTTCTCCTTTCCCTCCCTCCTTCACTCCCTCTTTCCTTCCTTTCCTTTTTTCTTTCCTTCTCTCCTTTCATCCTTCTCTACCTCTTTCCTTCCCCTTTTTTCTTTTCCTTCCTCTTTCTCCCCTTTTCTTCCTTCTCTATCTCTTTCTTTCCTTTGCTTTTTGCTTTTTGGATTGACGCACAAAGAATTTTTTTTGTTTTAGATTGTATTGATCTAAGTTGGGATGTTCTAGGTCATGGTGCTCTAGATGAGAAGGCTCTAGGTTAGAAGGTTCTGAGAAGAGCACTTTCCTTGGCCTATCTTTTCAGACTACCACATGAAAAATATTCTCAGTTTGAGGTTAGAATGTTATTGGTTAGATTCTAGGCCACTGTGGTCTAGGTTGGTGTGTTCTAGATCAGGATATAGGCTAGAAGGTTCTAAGCTAAAAATACACTATCTAGAAATTTATTTATTTTTTAAATAGCAAGCAGTTTATTGAAGGTAATAAAAGCCAAAAGCAATAAAAAGTAATCCACAGCAAAAGGTAAATCCAATTGATTAGGAAGAAAAAGGAGCAATTAGTCCAAAGAAGTCCATGAAACTAGATGCCTGATTTCAAAAGCAATTAACAGCAAAGGCACTTAAAACAGGAATCAAACAAAAGCAAGAGTCCAGGAATACACTATCTAGAATTTTACAGCAAAAGTAGAACACATCTGCAACATGGAGCATGAGATGTTAAATTCACTTTGCTTTCTATTCTGAATGTAAGATTATGATTTTTTAAATTGAAGAGCAGCTTTCAAGAAGACATTTACTTTGAAAGGGCGGTGTGGCTCCTTCCTTCACTCCTTGACTTTCATTCATTTCAAATGACGTTTCCTTTGAATGTTTTTGTAACCTGAAAAACACCAAGGATATTGTCACGGCCAAGCATGAAAGGACTTGGAGATGTCCTCAACAATCACAAAATGCAGTATATGGAACTCTTAGATTTCGTATTGTCGAAGGCTTTCATGGCCGGAATCACTGGGTTGTTGTAGGTTTTTCGGGCTATATGGCCATGTTCTAGAGGCATTTTTTCCTGACGTTTCGCCTGCATCTATGGCAAGCATCCTCAGAGGTAGTGAGGTCTGTTGGAACTAGGAAAAAGGGTTTATATATCTGTGGAATGACCAGGGTGAGACAACGGACTCTTGTCTGCTGGAGCTAGGTGTGAATGTTTCAACTGACCACCTTGATTAGCATATAATGGCCTGACAGTGCCTAGAGTGCTTGTGCGCCAGCTGCGCCCGTACCTTGGGAAGTCTGACTTGGCCACAGTAGTCCATGCTCTGGTTACATCCCGTTTAGACTACTGCAACGCTCTCTACGTGGGGTTGCCTTTGAAGACAGCTCGGAAGCTCCAACTAGTCCAACGCTCGGCAGCCATGATTTTAACAGGAGCGGAGCGCAGGGAGCATACAACCCTCCTGTTGCGCCAACTCCACTGGCTACCGATCTGCTACCGGGCTGAATTCAAAGTGCTGGCGTTGGCCTTTAAAGCCCTAAACGGTTCCGGCCCAAGATACCTATCTGACCGCATCTCTACCTATGAACCCACCAGGACTTTGAGATCTTCCAGGGAGACCCTGCTCTCGATCCCGCCTGCTTCTCAAGCTTGGCTGGCGGGGACGAGAGATAGGGCCTTCTCGGTGGTGGCTCCTCGGCTGTGGAACGCCCTTCCTACGGACATTAGACTACCACCATCTCTAATGGTATTCCGCAAAAAGGTGAAGACCTGGATGTTTGTGCAGGCGTTTGAGTAATTTAGTGCAATCTGGTAATGGAACATAGGAATGGAACAATGGACGACGAACCTGGACTACGCTTGGATGATGAGAAGATTGGGTACGGTTGTTTTTTGTAATAATTGTGCATTGTAATGGCTTATTGGTAATTTATGGATAATGTGTTAAGTCAATTGTTATATGTTGTATGGAACCACTGCTGTTTCTACTGTTTTTACTGTTTGTGAACCGCTGTGAGTCGCCTTCGGGCTTGAGATACAGCCGTATAGAAGCAAAGGAAATACATAAATAAATAAATAATAGAGCAAACTTTTGTTGAGAGGTGATTAGATGTCCTTGTTTGTTTCCTCTCTGTTGTTGTGCTGTGTTTGGTGGTCCCTATGGAGACTTGTCCACCATGTCAGACTTCACCATGATGCCAGTTGATGAGCTACTGACAACTGGCACTGCTCATTTGTTTCTGCTGGCTTCCTGTTACACGGCAATGATACCAACTTCCCCCAAGAAAATTCCCTGTAAGAGCTACGTACCTTGTAATCTTACTTTCTGGATAACCCTCATACAGCGTGAACTTTGCACTTGGAGGGAAACGGAATGAGGATGCTCATCCCTAACCTTCACCACAATGCCAGTCGATGAGCTACTGACGACTGGCACTGCTCGTTTGCTTCCGCTGGCTTCCCATGATACCAACTTTCCCCGAGAAAATTCCCTGTAAGAGCTACGTACCTTGTAACCTTACTTTCTGGATAACCCTCGTACAGCGTGAACTTCGAACTTGGAGGGAAACAGAATGAGGATGCTCATCTCTAACCACCACCACAATGCCAGTCGATGAGCTACTGACGACTGGCACTGCTCATTTGCTTCCGCATACCAATTTCCCCTGAGAAAATTCCCTGCGAGAGCTACGTGCCTTGTTACCTGACTTCCTGAATAACCCTCGTACATAGAGTAAATGAATGTTTCCTTCCTCTATCCACATTTCTTCCTCTTCCAGTCTAACACATCTAACACTCTGAAGTAATTTTATGGGGGAAAAGGAAACCAGAGGAGAGTGCTTACAACTTAATTCAACCATTTCCTCTACCTAACATTCTTACAACTGCTGGAGAGTTGGGAGAGAAAGAGCTAAGAACTTTGCACTTGGAGGGAAATGGAATGAGGATGCTCATCCCTAACCTTCACCACAATGCCAGTCGATGAGCTACTGACGACTGGCACTGCTCGTTTGCTTCCGCTGGCTTCCCGCGATACCAACTTCCCCCGAGAAAACTCCCTGCGAGAGCTACGTACCTTGTTACCTAACTTTCTGAATAACCCTCATACATAGAGTAAATGGATGTTTCCTTCCTCTATCCAAATTTCTTCCTCTTCCAGTTTAACACATCTAACAACATGGGAAAAAGGAAACCAGAGGAGGGTGCTTACGACTTAATTCAACCATTTCCTCTATCTAACATTCTTATAACTACCCACAAGAACTGAGGATTCTTATAACTGCTGGAGAAAAGAATTGGAGCGGATTGGCAGTGTTGTAGAGGGGAGATACTTTCAGAAGTCCATGTACACAAACTGTAAAGTGAACAAAAAGACATTTGGGCATTTGGTTCCTGCTCTTGTCACACCGCCTTTCTCTTGGCCCTGACTGAATCACTGCTTGCGAGAAAAAGCATGTCCTCAACTGTCTTATCATTTACAAAGCAAGGGCTGTGTCTTTGCCAGAATCAATATCTATGAGCAACAGAACCATTCCTTGTCAAGAATGGCCTTTCTCCCTCTCTGTTGGAAGCGTGCTTGAAGTGCGATGCCTGGCATTCTGGCAACAGAACAATAATCCAGTGTAAGGAACCATGAAAAATTTCTATGCCAGTGTGCTAGACAAAACTCCATAATGTACTCTTTATGTACTCTGCAGATAGGTGGCTTCCTTCGGTTGCAGTCGTAGGGCAAGTCACCTGTCCATCATCGTTATGTTTTGGAACCGCCCTTTGCTCAGGGCAATTGGGAAGGGAAGGAAGCCATTTTTAGTTAGTCTCAGCGAGGAAAGCTAATGTACAGGACGTGTGCAAGCTTCCCCTCTACAAAAGCTTCAACCCTTAAGATTTTTCGGGGGGAAACAGTCTTAAGAGCAAACCAGAGAACTCCAGGGAAGCCTCCCGAAAGCTTTGAGGATTTTCTGGGGGAGAACAGTCTTAAGAGTCTCCAAAGATTTCCAGGGAAACAGCCATAAAGACCAAAGAACTCCAGCTGGAGAGCATCTAAGCCTTTACTGGTAGGTCCACTCGGCATTCGAGAAGCAGTTCGACCTGGTAGCGGAGCCCACATCAGTAAGGGTTAGATTACAGTCAGTCTGGGAGAAGTTAAAAAGGGGATTGTTGGGGTTCAGCCTGGGTGTGAACCTGAACCTGATTCTCTGATTGTATTTCCTGATGCTAATGAAAATGTTGATTCTGAGGTCAGTGTAGAAGAAACCCCTGCAGGCTTGGAAGGCTTGGAAAGTGAAAGTACACATTCTCATGAGAATGTTGCAGAGCCAAGCGGTGATAGCTCTCCAGAGAAGCTAACACCTGGGATCCTTAATGAGGATAGAAGAGGACAGATTTGGAAAAACAGGGGTGAATCGCAGAGTCTGCGAAGGTCAAGCAGATCAAAAGAAAAAGAAACAAGGGCTTCAAAGCCTGGAGGCGTGTCACGAAACAGTTTCCTCGGCTTTAAGTGCCTCCCGCCGGTTGACTCTTTAGATCAGGCATCATTTTAGACGGAGGCATTCCCTTGGCAGATCTCCCGTTTCCCATGGCCTTCATCCCAAGAGGCTTCTAGTGCTCCAAGCACGGTTAGTGGATTGCTAACAGGTTCCAGGATTTTACAGTGTTGCTTTTGGTTTTTGATCTAGTTCATGGAAATTTCTGATTGCTGATTTTTACTGTGGCTTTTTGACTTTGCATTTTCCTCTATCTTGTAACCATTTTTCATCAATAAAAAGGGATTGTTTTTCCTACAGTCAAGTGTGGTGGATGGTTATCTTAGGGTCTCGTTTCCTGCTCGGAGTTGCAACAGGGATTTTCCATTTAAAGTAAAGAAGAAGTTATTGAAGACAGTTGCCTGTCCTTCGTGGGCAAGATTAGGAAGCCAGCAGTTGCATTAAAGCCTGGAATTATTTGTTTAACTTTCTGAAGACAAGAGAAGTGTCTGTTTGATTGTTCATTAATAAAGGACTTTGTTATACTTCACAATCCATCTAAAGACTATTTGTGGTGGAAAGCCTCTGAGAACTTCTCCTTGGGCCCCGTGGCTTCCCGCTGGTCAAAAGATGCACGTCCTGTTCTAAAGGAAATTCTTTACAGCCCAGCGTGCGACAGAACAACGTTGCTGCAATTTTCCTGATAGGGAACTGCTCTTCCTGAGAGAGAAGACCGGCCGAAACCCGAGCTGCTTGGGTCAAATTCAGCCATATGGCAAATGTATTCGATCAGTGCTTCTGGCTTCACGAGACGAAATGCAGTGCCGCATGTCTGCCTTTTTTTGCTGTTTTGTAAAGTGAAGCTGCATATGTTAGAACAGCACTGAAATTCAATAACGAAACCAATTATTTTGGCTAAACATTTTTATCTCCATGGAACAGCTGGGCAAACACGATGCTAAATGACATATCATATTAAGACGAACGACCCTTCACGCTCTTTAATCCATTTGTCATTTAAGTGGTGTCGTTTAAGAGCTTCCACCATATATAAGGAGCAGTCAGACTCGTGGAGTTTCTCCAGATGGAAGCCTGGTGTGATCCTTCTTCCCAGTTCGTGCCTCATCACAATTTCCTTTATTAGAGTTATTAATACGGTTAATTTGCATCACTGGACCCATGGCATCAAAAAGCCCCACTGGGTTATTTATTTATTGGAATAATCCCCTGCCTTTCTCCCAGAATGGTATTCAAGACACAGCGTATTATTTGAGAACACAGGAATGCTGGACCACACCAACAACCACCATGTCAGACTACACAGAGAAGCCATTGAAATCCACAAGAAGCAACAGAATTCCAACAGAAAGGAGGAAACCATGAAAATGAACAAAATGTAATCACCTCTCAACAAAAGTTTGCTCTAGG